ACATCGGGCTCCCTGCGAGGAGGCTACTTCTCCCACGGCCTGTGTTTCTGCCTCTCTGTATCCGAGAGAAAGAAAGAAGGAAAGAAAGAAAGAAAGAAAGAAAGAAAGAAAGAAAGAGAAAGAAGGAAGGAAGGAAGGAAAGAAAGAAAGAAAGAAAGAAAGAAAGAAAAGAAAGAAGGAAGGAAAGAAAGAAAAGAAAGAAAGAAAAAGAAAGAAAGAAAGAAAGCTAAAAGAAAAAAAAAAACCTTAAAAAAAAAAAAAAAACGGCGAACTTGCGGTAACGGCCGGGCGGCCCGGCGGTCGAGCTCCGCCTTCAGCCCAGGGCGGGGTCCTGGAGACGCGGGCTCAGAGTCCCACGTCGGGCGCCCTGGATGGAGCCTGCTTCTCCGTCTCTCCGTCTCTCCGTCGGCTGGTCGCACCGGGAGGGCGAGAGGGAGGCGGGAGGCGCGGCCTCGGGGAGTCCCCGAGGGGAGGGGAGGCGAGGCGAGGCGAGGCGGCGCCAACCGGGTGCTGCTGGTCGAGCCGGGCGGGCGGGCGGCCGCCGTGGGACCGCGGGACCGCTGGGCGACCGCATCCACCAGCAGGGAGGGAAGGAGGCGCGAGTGCGCGCGCCCTCCCGCCTCGCGGGCCCTCTGGGAGGGGGGTGCACGCGCCTGTCGGCCGAGGAGGCCCCCGGCTCTCCCCCTTCCCGCCCCAGCCCGGGGCTCCCCCCCCCCACCGGGTCGGTGCAGAAACGGCGAGTGTAGTGGTGTTTCCCCGGCGGCCCGCCCCGCCCCTCGCGGGGACGGAGGAGCGCCGGGGCCTCCCACTTACTCTGCAGCTCTCAGGGCTCTTGACCGCGCCAGACTAGAGTCAAGCTGCACAGGGTCTGCTTTCCCGCTGCTCCCGCCGTGCCCGTTCCCTTGGCTGTGGTTTCGCTGGACAGTAGGTAGGGACAGTGGGAATCTCGTTCATCCATTCGTGCGCGTCCCCGATTAGATGCCGAGGCGTTGGGCTACCTTAGGAGCGTCCTAGTCACCCCCGCCGTGCCCCCGCGCTTCGGTGAATTCCTTCACTTTGACCTTCAGGGCACTGGGCAGAAATCAGATTTGGCTAAAGAGTTGCCTTCAGGGAGACAGAACATGAAGACTCCTAACTCTGGGAAATGAACTAGGGGTGGTGGGAGGGGAGGAGGGCGGGGGGTGGGGGTCAATGGGTGACGGGCACTGATGGGGGCACTTGAACGGATGAGCACTGGGTGTTATTCTGTATGTTGGTAAATTGAACACCAATAAAAATTAATTTATAAAAAAAAAGAGTTCCCTTCAGGAACTAGGCAAGTAAGACTTTAATTGATACCTTTTGTTTTTAACAATCACAGAACCATGCAAATAACATTTATATTCTTTTTTTTAAATTTTTTATTTATTTATGATAGTCACAGAGAGAGAGAGAGAGAGAGAGAGAGAGAGAGAGAGAGGCAGAGACACAGGCAGAGGGAGAAGCAGGCTCCATACACCGGGAGCCCGATGTGGGATTCGATCCCGGGTCTCCAGGATCGCGCCCTGGGCCAAAGGCAGGCGCCAAACCGCTGCGCCACCCAGGGATCCCTAACATTTATATTCTAAAGTAATTACAGCAATTTTTGCTTTCAGCAACTTTTGTTTCAGTGAGTAATACTCAGTTGTAAGAGATTTAACTGAAAGGTAAGCATGTAAGGTGTTAAAAACCCATATTTTGCGTAAGGGAGGGAAAATACAGAACTTGGCTTTAATAATGATGTGGGAACTGGGCTAGCTGCACAAGGCATAGTTGACAATCCCGCAAAAAATCCCCCCCCCCCGTGGTATCCGTGTGATAGTCTTTAGGAAGTTTCCAATTGCCTTCACGTTAATGCCTTGCTAGAGGGAAAAAGCAATCTGTAACTTAACAATGGCAAGACCTCCACTATCTTGTAGGTCCTCCTTAGCATATGAAAGTCCTTCTGAAATCTCCATTTTTGCTTAACCTCCCCCGATTCTTCAATTATATAATCAGCCACCCCTCACAGGCTCTGGGCAGCCGCTCTTCCCGTCCACAGCTTTAATAAAACCACCATTTTGCTCCAAGGATGTCAAGAATTCTTTCTTGGTCATCGGCTCTGGACCTCACCTATATTCCAAAACTTCATCAATAATACCACTTAATTGTTATAGAACCTTAATTAAACCTTTCCTTTTTGAGCTTATTTGTCCTATCCAAAATGAAGATAGTATCAATATTCTTTTAAAAGGCTGGCATAGGGATCCCTGGGTGGCGCAGCGGTTTGGCGCCTGCCTTTGGCCCAGGGCGCGATCCTGGAGACCTGGGATCGAATCCCACTTCGGGCTCCAGGTGCATGGAGCCTGCTTCTCTCTCTGCCTCTCTCTGTGTGTGTGACTATCATAAATAAATAAAAATTAAAAAAAATAAAATAAAAGGCTGACATAGGAAATATATACAAATGCTTTCTAAACCGGTATTTTTCAGGATTTTTGGGCCGCAGCCCCCTGATAAATAAATATTATGTGGAGATCTGATACATATACATACATATAATTGCAATACAAAACTTACTATATGTGGTGTAGACTGGTATTTCCTGTTCTATTTCACTGAAAAGTAAACCTTTATTTAGTAATGACCCACTAAATGAGTCATATTGCACAGTTTAAAAATATATTGTCTATATAAAGAAAAAAACTATGAGGTACCCTATTAACAAAAGGTAGAGGTGCAGAATAAATAATAAATACTGTTATAGTTATTATATAATATACTGTTATCAAATTTCATTTCAAAATAGTGTGAATATAGTATAGTTAAATCGTGTCCCGTATTTTTTCCATTAGCATCTTTACCATAAGCATTTTTTTATTTTATTATTATTATTTTTTAAGATTTTATTTATTCGTGAGAGACACACACACACAGACAGAGAGAGGCAGAGACACAGGCAGAGGGAGAAGCAGGCTCCATGTAGGGAGCCTGACATGGGACTAGATTTTGAAATATGGAGCATGGGGGTTTCATTTCTAGTTTGCTAAGTTGACTTCTTTGAAACTTCCATTAGGGGTTTCAGATATCACCAGGAGTCTCCAGGATCAGGCCCTGGGCTGAAGGTGGTGCTAAACTGCTGAGCCACCCATTTTGACTGCATAGCTAATGGAGTGCCAGGACATTTACGGAAAAAACAGACATGCCACAACACTAATCCAAGGCCAGCATAACCTGGCCAGTTTTGAGGAAAGGCCAGTCTCCCTTCTCACTTCCAATATTCTCACATATCTTCAACCTAATCCCAATTATTTTAATCCCCAGACCATCTTCCTGAAACAAACTTCCAGTGCCTTTGATAATTGTATATTATTACATTGAGGGCTACAACATCAATACTTTCTTTTTTAACAAGATATTTATTCTACTTTAGATAAGAATCTTTGAAATTCACAAAATAAAATCTTATTAATTTGGACTTTACAAATTGTGCATCTTTTTCCAAAGGGATGGAGACTGGGTTCATTTTAGTCCTTTGCAGGTTTTTCTTGTGACGTAACTGTTAAGCAGAATTAGAATTAAATTTTAAGTATGCTGAAATATAGTATTTGGCATTAAAAACAGAAACAGCAAAAATATCCAGTCTATATCCTGTATCATTATACATTCTGCCCCACCTGCCATACATTCTCCATTTTTATACTTAGAATCCCTGCTTTGAATGATGGCACTGAAATCCTGTGCAAGTTCCTTAAACAACAAACATTCAAATATATTCATAAATTTTGATAGTACTAAGGCAAGAAGTGAAAAATACACATTCATTTATTTATTTAACAACAGGTCATTAAAACTTAAGTAAGGATCAAAGGACAAAAAGATTAATTTTTCAGATTAATTCTGAACATTCAACCAACAGAACCCTTGCATTCCTGAAGTGTTCTGACATATTGAGATTTTGATACAAAAACAAGATTCTATGACAACTTCTTTTTCAAAGAGAAAAAACTTTTTTAAAAAGTATGCTTAGCACCAACAACTTACAAACCATAAACACCTAAGATTACAATTTACAAATGGAATGTTTCCAAATTTGGTAATCTAGAACTTGGAATGTATTTTCCAATTGGAACAATGCTCTATAAAACTATGGCTAAGTTTCCAGAACAGATGTACAAACCCTGTTTGCATGCTTTTAATATACCATTTACCTGCAATGAAAATAACTAAACACAATATCATTGTAATATAGAAACAAAAAAATCCAAGATATTATGCTGAGTGAAATAAGTCAATCGGAGAAGGCCAAACATTATATGGTCTCATTTGGGGAATATAAAAAATAGTCAAAGGGAATAAAGGGGAAAGGAGAAAAAATGAGTGGGAAATATCAGAAAGGGAGACAGAACATGAGAGACTCCTAACTCTGGGAAACGAACAAGGGGTGGTGGAAAGGGAGGTGGGCGGGGGGTGGTGGTGACTGGGTGACGGCCACTGAGGAGGGTACTTGATGGGATGAGCATATGAGCATTGGGTGTTATTCTATATGTTGGCAAATTGAACGCCAATAAAAAATAAATTTAAAAATCGAAGATAAAGAAAATATACAAAATTCTAAAACCATGACTGTGTGGCATTAAAAAGAGTACATAACTCAAAGAAAACAAGTAAGAGTTAGCCAAAAGTCTTTGTAATGTGAATTCAGAAAGATGGTTTGGAGAAGTGTAAAAGCGTATTACAGCCAAGTTTTGATTGCCTGAAGGAAACGTCTCTTCTCTCTCTCTCTCTCTCTCTCTCTCTCTCTCTCTCACACACACACACACACACACACACACACACTAGGGACAGGTAAGCTGGGCACTTTCCACCTGGAAGACAAACAGCACATTGAATTAAGGAGCACAAACACAGCGTGAGGAAGGAAAGTGAAAAAAAAAAAAAAAGGAAGGAAAGTGAGAGGGGCCCGGGAGGCAAATCTGAGCACTTTGAGAGCACAGCAGCCATCCCTAGCTCCAGAGGCCTGCGTAGTTCCCATGGAGGCCTGAAGGGAGAGGTCCTCCAGCCACGAAGAGCTTCATCTCAGGCCAGTTGTAGCAGTGGGTGTAGAGCGCGTTGGGGAACTCGCGCATCCCCCCGAAGTAGTTGGCCCACAGGTCGTCGTGGTTGAGCCAGCCTCTGCCTGCACAGGTGAGCTTGAGCTTCCTCCCCGAGGGCCTGGGAGAGGAGTCGGGGCTGGCTGAGGCCCGCTCCTCCAGGAACCTCTGGGCGCGGATGTCATAGAAGAGCAGGGAGCCAAGGCTCGTGCCCACAGTTATCATGTGCTGGTAGAAGCTCAGGGAGCGCACACCCGCGCCACCCTCTCTGGAGCACAGGGGCTGCATGTTCTGGTGACCCTGGCGCGGGTCCACGAAGGAGACGTGGGACTGGGAGCCCACCGCGTACAGGGAGAACTCGTCGCAGACGGTCAGGCACACGTTCTCTCTGCAGTAGGGCAGCCTGATGGACAGCAGCCTGGAGAGATGGCTCGGGGCTTTCCACAGGTGGAAGTACCCGTCCAGGGACACGGCTCCCAGCTCCTGGCTCTTGCCGCTGAAGGCCAGGGCCCGCACCTTGCAGCTGCAGGGGCTGGTGCTGGACCGGGGGATGGTCTGCAGGTCCCTCGGTCGGATGTGGGCGTGCACGGGGAGCCCGGCGTCGCTGTGCGAGGCGATGCTGCCTTCGAACACGTCGGGGTCCATCCGCCACAGCGCCACCGTGCCGTCGCGGGAGCCGCTCACAGCCACCGTGTCGCTCATCCAGGCGATGCTGAAGATACAGTCATTGTGGCCGTGGCGGTCGCCCAGGCACACGGGGTCCAGGGTGGGCAGGCGGTAGACCGCCAGGCTGTTGGGGTTCTCGCCCCCGGTGGCCAGAAGCGTCTTGGAGGGATTCAGCTCGATGGCGTGGATGCCGCAGGTCGGCTGGGCCCGGGACAACCAGGGCGCCCGGGCCCGCATCAGGGGGATGCGCGTGATGTGGCCCGAGTGCACGTCCACCACGAAGAGAGTGTTGCACTTGGTCCCGCACACCACCTGCCTGGCGTTCAGCCACTGCGACGCGAACACCTTGTTGACCGTGCCCAGCGCCAGCTCGCGCTCCCTCAGCAGCTCCGGCAGCTTCTGCACCGCGTAGCCGCGCAGCTCGCCCTCGGAGCCCGACAGCCCCGCGCCGCCCCGCGCGCCCACCTCGCGGCCCTTCAGGTAGTGCACCAGGGACCGCCGCGTCGCCCGCCGCCTCTGCATCCTGGGCAGCGGCCGCCCCTCGGAGGCCGCCGCCGAGCCCGGGGACGCCGAGCCCTGGGACGCCGAGCTCGCGGCGCCCGCCTCGATAGCCGGCGCTTCCCGCTTGCTGCTACCTGTTTGCTGCAGGGCCATGGTGGGCGGCGGGCGAGCGGCGGCGGGCGCGGCGGCGGCGGCGGGGGTAGGCGAGGGCGGGAAGTGCGGCCGGCGAGTCGGAGTGGGACCGGGACGCCGCGGGGGGACCCAGTGTGAGGGGGCGGAGGCTGCGGGAGGAGCCGGCGGGGAGCGGCGGGGGGCGCCGGGTAGCGCACGCCAGCCTGGGAGGGGGCGGAGGGGGGCGGAGGGGGGGGACAGAGCCCGCGGTGGGGAGCCTCAGCCGGGGCCAGCGCTCCGCGATCCCAGAGCCGCCCCCGGAGGACACATCCTAGTGCGCCTGCCCAGGCCCTCTTGCTCTCCTGTGCCAGGCGTTTCGCCAGCCTCAGGATAGCAACCGAGGAGCCTTCTTAAAATCCTTACGTAAATAAAACCTGAGAGCGAAGGTAAAGTATGACGCTGGAAGGAGCTTGAACGATTATGTGTTGAAGAGACCAATAGTGCAATCCTGGGAGACTCTGCTGCAACGAGTGTTCAGTCACCCTGAACGTGACAGGGAGTGGGGATGTTTAGCAAAGGCAGGGCGGCCCTCCCCTTAGGTCTGTCCTTGCAGCATACCTGTCTCAGCCCCTCCACTGCGAATGTGCTAAAATTCTCAACCATTTTTTTCTCTTGATTATCAAATTGAGGTCCCTGAGTTTGCACACTAGAATCACTGAGGGGCGTGTTCCGAATGTAGTTGCCTAGGCCCCACTTCCTCTGGAAGGGAAGCCGGGACCCTGTGATCCAGTGCAGCTTGAGGAACCCAGAGGACTGCATCGAGGGTGGGGGTGGAGGCTGGAGGTAAGACAAGGGTGTTCCTCCATGATGTTGCGTTCTCGTGAGCCGAATAGAAGAACCGTGAGGTGGATGTGAAGAGGTGCAGGACAGGGATACTTCTTTTCTTGCTCAAGGGAAAACAGGTTCAGTCCCCACTGTCAGTCCCAGGAGGAATCCCAGGTGCCCGGGTGTGGCCTTGTCTTGTATGGGAGGGCCCCTGGGGTTTTGAGCTGGGGTTGGGGGCAGGGGGATGCAGCGTTTTCCATAGGAAAAGGTGGTGCTGATCTGTCCGGAAGGACTAACCCCATAGGCACAATGGGAAGTGTGGGTGTTCACACTATGGGTTTAGCAGTCTCAGAATTTGGATGCATTGTATCTGGCTTTACAGCTTCAGAGTGACCAATTCGGTCGGCAATCCTGTATTTAGACACATGAAACTGCATAGTGACATGGGTGGCTGGTAGCTGACACCAGCTCTGCAGACGTCCCAGTCCTCCCCTCCAAAACTTTGTTGAGTGAGTGCATGTGCAGAGGTGAATTACCTTTTCTGACCAATCACGGAGGACTACGGGAGTTACTTTGTTGTTGCTTTTCTCTACCCTTCTCCCAGCCCTTTCTGCACCCTCACCTCAAATGCACAAACTCCAAGTACAAAAACCATAGGCCCTTTGCCCCACTCCCATCCCGTGGTATATCCCAGTACCCACTCCTCCCCCATATTCCTCCCTATGTTTAATGCTGTATCAGGAGGATGAAGGTTATTGGAGAGGGAGTGACCTGACCATAAAAAAATTTTTTACGACTTCATAATTAGAACTGACATTACTAGAGAATAAATAACTACAAATTCCTTTAACTTAATCTTCCATAATGTTTTTTTTTTAATTCCACCTCAGGAAAATGGATATTATATAGTAAGACTTCATGGCATACCCTTTACTGTTGTTGCATAACAAAATAGACTGAACATTTTGGGAGAGCGATAGATCAGATAGGTATAGATTGCTAGATCTATCTATATTTCAATTGTAAAAATAAATAATTCTCATAATAATTATTGTTTATTGATAGCCTGTTTGTGTCATTGGCTGGAGGACTGTGCTAAACACTTCAAATGCACATTCAGCTTCACAATAACTTTATGAGGCAGGTTCGATTTTTATAGCCCTATTTTAAAATGAGGGAACTGAGGCCTAGAAAGACTAACGACCGCCCCATGGACACACAACTAATAAATGGTAAAATCATGTTGTTAAATCTGTCTGACTGCAAAGCTTTGAAAACTAATAACTGCCCTATATTATTCAATTAATATGAGTTTTCTATTTCTGTCTCTTTAAAAACCATATAAACTATCCCTATGATGGAAATTTTACAGATGTTGCATCTTGTGCACTTTTGAAACATAGCCAGAATTCCTAAAATAAATGAATAAATACTGAATGCAACTTATGTACAACACTCCAAACCAAATATAAAGGCGAAAACATATTCTATGAGATATATTTTCTTTTTTATAAACTATTTTAATTAATATGAAATACAATAATATGTACCTACATTTTGGTGAAAATAAAACCCATATAAATAGTCCTGATATTATGCCTCTCTACCTTTTTGATAACATAATTATGCAATATTTATATATAATGTGTAGTCACTGTTCAGATTACTATTTTGCATTGAGAGGTGTGATAATTTCATCTAAAATACAGTACATGTAACACATTTCATATACGTCTACACTTTAACATTTCTCTGAGTTTTTTATTTAAAGATGTAAGATTTACAGACCAGAGTCAAGTGATACTGAGAAATTTAGAGTGTTGTATATCAGATTGCAAATTTGAACCTTTACTTGCATCTGATTGCTTCCACTTTTAGGAAAACACAGTGTCTGCTAAAACCTAAAGTTATACACAGTACATTTGTAGTTAAATGTAGATGAAATGACATGATAACAAAATTTCAGGTGTCTGCATGGTGTTTTGAGTGTCAGGATCCCTATTCGGTATGTTTGTTAGTTTTGAGGGCCACTGTGTATGAGTGTAAACATCTTGTCTGTCATTACAAATTTATTTCTGTATTCATTCCTGCTTTTTTTGCAACTGACATAGCCCTGGATAAATTTTTATTACCCTTACCTATGTCCCCTGAACCATATTTCCCTCCGTTGGATGGGGGCTTATATGAGTGGTTTCAGGCCACTGTCTCATTCTGTTCTGTAGTTACTTCATATGTTTAAATGTTGTTTTCTTAATCCAATTGTAAAGTCCTCAAGAGATTACGTAACATTTCTGATTTCATTCACATCACCACATAGTTCTAGGTACGCACTAAATGGTTTCAAAAACTTGTGATGGTCTTGTTAATAAACTAATAGAATATGAGAGAGAAAGCAAAATGAAATATCAAAAAGTAGAAGTAAGATATTTTGAAATCAAATTACTTGAGTGGTGAAACTGGAGGATTTGAACTGATTTGAAATAATACCGCATAACTTGTTTGAAGTTATTCTCTAAATAGTATAGACAGCTTCAAACAGATTATATGACATCCTTCTATCTATCATCTGTCTATCATCTATCTATCTATCATCTATCTATCATCTATCTATCTATCTATCTATCTATCTATCTATCTATCTATCATCTATCATCTGTTTCTTTCCAGCTTATTGGACAATTTATCAACTGTGTCTGTCCAGCTTTCTAATCTGTGAATGAAGTAAAGGATCTATTTAGACAGTAAACAAGTTAGATTACTGATTTAAAATTAGTTAAGGCAAAAGATTTATTTCTCTTCTGCACAAAAATAGATCTTATGAATATGGACTTCATAGATTGGAGCAAATTCTCAGGTACAAAGGCATCTGTCTTCAGAAATGGTGTTCTATAATCATTTGTGATATATCATGTAATGATAGAAAGTAAGGTTCTCCTTAACAATATTGATGACATCTTGTTTACATTCGAAGGTATAGCCTTTGCATTATCTTTATCAATAAACATAAAATGCTAAAAATGAAATATAGTGAGGTTTATTTTAAAACAATATATGCTAATGATACCCTGTTATTTGTAATACACCTAAGGCAAACAATTCTTGGACATTGGATAAATTTTCACCTAATCTCTAATTGTAGTAGAGTCTTACCATTTCAAGCTGTGACCTTGTAGAGTCTCCTAAGATAAGCAGCTGTGAATCTAGTTTATAGTCAGATGGGAGGCTTCCTCCAAACCTCATGATGCAGAAACTGGTAGAGATGACTCAGCAGGCTATGTTTCCTCTACAAAGGCACTACTAATGGCATATGGTGTCAGATGGGGGAACAAAGGAAAGATTTATCACATTATTTCATTTACTAGAAACAGAATCATAGAGAAGGTAATTTTGACTCCATGACCTCTTCTTTGCCCTACCTCTTTCCAACTTGTATAAGAAGAAGGAATGTGTCAGAGGCCAAGCCGGGGCTTTGTTTAATACAAGAGTAGATTCAGTGCTATTAAATGTTTTATGGAGGCACAACAGTGTAGTCGTCAAAGGAGTGGACTTCAGAGCCACATATTATGGCTTGAATTCTGGTTTTGTGGTTTGCTGGCCTTGGAACTGGGTCAGTTGGTATACTCCCTTTGCATTCAGTCCCTTCTCTATAAACATGTTAACCTTTTCAACATGTTGAGTTGGTAAGTAGCTAAAGTGTTACACTGTTGTAAAAAAACACTAGGAAACTAGACCAATAACTCTAGCTGATTATATTGGTCACTTCAAAACTATTTGTTGTGTGCCATTTAACCAACATCTCCCCATGTCTCCCACCTCCTTGCCTCTGGTAAACACTGTTCTACTTTCTGCTACTGTGTATTGAACTACTTATATTTCACATATGTAAGATCATGTGATCTTTTTCTTTCTGTATCTGTTTTATTTCACTTAATGTAATGTCCTCCAAGTTCATCCATGATGTCCCAAATGACAGAATTGCCTTCTTTTTTAAGGCTGAATAATATTTCAACATATGTACATGTCTCCCAATTTCTTCATTCCTCCATTGATGGACACTTAGGTTGTTTTCATTTGTTGGTTATTGTACCTAAGGCTACAGTGAATATAGTTGTGATTATTTCACTGTGTATATGCATAACAAATCATCAGATTGTACATCTAAAATATATACTTTTATTTAAAAAGAAAAGAAATTAAAAATAAAAAAACCTGGAACA